CATATTACTAATAAATTGAAGTGTATAGAATTAAACACATAAAAAACTTTTTTTTATAAGATGTATCAAGCAGTTTGATTAATATTCACTCTACAGATAGCAAGAATAAACTTACAGTTACATGAATTTTTCAAATAAAAACCATTAATTAATTATTTTAATTTTACTAATGAAAAAAATTGAAATAAACAAATAATACTTATTAAAATAATAGATAGTAGAGATCAATTATTTTGTTTTATTATAATAATAATAGCTATTACAAAATTGTATTATTTTCAAATTAAAATAATAAACTGCGTTAAACTTTAAATTTTATAAAAGCATTTGCCCGAGTATACCTGGATATTACTTGGGTTATAAATGGTAAAATGCTAAACGGGTAAAAGTGGATAATACCCATTAAGGAATTGAGCAACCTTTTTTTATCCGGATACTGAAATTCTGACGGATCGCAGCTTTAATTGAATAAGCTTAATAATATCCAATCATATTATGTTTTATCCAATAAATTTTAGCAGCTACTAATAAATGAAATATTACCAAACTAATTAGGTGTCATAGTGACAAAAATCAAAGTATGCTGCAATAAATAAAAACCACGTTAGCATCAGATCGAGTCAATGAATATACGTGAAAATCTAGGTCTAAATTGGTGTGAAGCTAAGATTACGTTTTATGCAATAGGAATTATTCCTCTAGGAATTTCATGGTACCGTTAGGTATAAGAAAACAAAATGTAAATTTTGTTTACCATATAAATTAAAAGATGGTGCTTATTTTCGACAGTAATGGTATTCTTCGAGTAGTAAAGATAGCGAAGTTTTTTGAATTATCATCATCGATGTTATATTTTAGAGATATAATCAATTTGCAATCATTACAACAAATAAATACAAAGTTCTTAAATCGATAAAGACTTAAAAGTTACATATCAAACAATTTACAACATAGTTCAACACCATAGCATATTCTAAAAATAAGAATTATATTATAACTATATGAAATCTATGTATTTTTAATAGATCTCTAATAATTTATAAATTTTTATTTTATTATATTAATAAATATTAAAACGAAAAAATTTCTGTTTAAGATACAGTAATCGTAAGAATTAGCCTACCCCATAACTATCCATAGATCATGTGTAAATATATCAAACAACAAAGAACGACGCAAACACTGATCAACTATGTTTTATAGGCGATATCGGGAATTGGATGTTCATCAAATATCTACGTCGCAAATACAATGAATCACCACTTTACAATGAAATATCTTGACATTCAATGATTCAATCCAAGCAAATATACTGCCCATTCGAATTGTCTTATCAAGCGATAGGATATTCGCTCGAATCGGATCACTGGACGAGATATTATAGTGATTCATTTTTTGTTGATCATTAGAAAAAAAATGAATCGGTCACTTTAGGATGTTTCAACAAATAGGTAATGGATATCACGAAGGGAAATTATCATTTATATGTTTAAAACTAATGTCTTAACGCAATAAGTAAGTAGAAAATCAATAAAATCCTAAAATTATACATGTAATTACACAGTGGACCCCGTTAAACCAAAGTGGTCGGGACTATTAGTGAGGAATTTTGTGAAATTCGGTTTACTTAATAAATCAGGTTTAACGGGGTCCTTTATAATGTAACGGTTTTTGAGCGAACTTCGGTTTAACGGGGTTCACTGTATATCATGTCTGCATTTATACATGTATAATGTTATCATTAACATTAGAATTTTCTTAATTGCGATCCAAAACCCGTGATCTTTACGACGCGACCTGCAAGTGATCAATTCATACTACCTAGACGTAATTCGAAAGAAATAAATTTTTTAATAACGACAAAATACAATCACAATAACTATGATAAGCAATAATAAACATTACCAGCCCAAATTAGAACTTATTGCATATTTTCAAACACACTTATTATATTCATGATTATAGAACTTTGTTTAACTCCATTTTTTTTAGTAATAACAATAATAAAAAATTATATTTTGGGATCATCCGATTATTATTGACACTCAATGTTTATTTTTTATTATGTGTTTATTTTTTTGTTTGTTACAATATTTGGAGCATTATTATAATTTGCACTGTTTAGTACATCTTTAATACATTGTTTGGTACATGATTCGTATAATGTTTGGTATAGTGTTTTTCACCATTTCGATCACTATGTAAATAATTATTCTTTAGTATCCAATATAAATGTATAAATTTAAGTGCTTTGAGCCTTTAATCAAGACAAGTTATAATAAAATAACAAAGTAATTGAAAGAGAATTACCTTTTGTTGCTTACATTATTGAATTTCGTGTTTTTGTCGCTTTTACCGGATGAAAGCCATTATTACGTTAATTTCTTTGTAGTGTAACCTAGCCGTAAAGAGAATTTGATTCGATCATACGTCATGTGATTCTGAAAATAACTCGTATTCCTTAAAAACAGTCTATAATTAAATAACAAAAAGTAATATCATGTAATCCCCTTTTCCGTTATCCAAATCATTCGTTATAATAAATAAATTTGTTTTTACCATCCTCAGTAACCGTGGTCACTGGAGCAAAACCTTTAGATCATTCCAAAGAAGCCCTCCAAACGAACACCGTTTAGTCTAAATCTCCCACAAACCTGTTAAGCCTGTCCATCTTTGAAATCCAATAGATCGGATAAGTGTGACAATAGGGTTGTATATGTTAAATATTTTCTTCTTGGATAATTATAAATTTTGTGAATCTGTTGAAAAGATCATTTTGTCTTTCTTTTTTTAATTAAGAAAAAACAGATTAACTATCACCTACTACGTGTAATAAAAAAACTAACGTAAATTTTACGAATAGAAAATCAATTACAAACTCAAAAATGATGTATAATAGCTATGAACTTGAATTTTATGTGCTTGTTTGTGTAATATAAATACTGTACCTAAAGTTCAAGCTATTGCACATAATGTGCCGGAAAAACTGAATTCGAGGTCACTGATACCTAACCTGAAATTGTTCTGAAGATACATGTATTCTGTTTTTAGAATTGCTGCTCTTTTCCATGATACATCTATCTTAATTTCGATGCGAGCCAATTACTGCATTTTTTATAGTGATATCAATACATGCACGTAACTATCATAACTCTATAATGAACCTATTTTCTCTTATCATAGAGATGCTATCATTTACTAATAAATAATTTTCGTCCATCATTTATTTTAAGTATCGTATTTGCACTTAACACTAATTCGAATAATTGATAAATGTCTTCAGATAATGCTTTCGATTAATATTTTGGTTGTTGTTCAAAAGTTAAATTCACGTTTGCATTATTTAAAGCAGATTTAAAATAAATAAATTTTCGATAAGAAAATAATGATTTGTTAGTATGTGCATTCTTAAAAACTATTATATTTAAAATATATGAATACTCTGCTGCTTTCAAATACCTCTCGAATGCTTTTTTTCATCTTTGATAACTCTTCCATTTTTAGTAACAGCGTGCAGTAAATATTAATTTATTATTTCTCTTTTTAATAATGTAATTTCACAAATCCATTTATTATAACAAAAAATTAATAAATAAATTTATATGAATGAACCTAAAATTTGACAAATAAACTTAAAAATTGCTAGCTAATATCGACATACATTTAGTTTTTCTTATGGATGCATTTTAAATAATTGATGTAGATAAAAATCATACCTTATACTCGCACTTTAACATAACTGAGCAAAATGTGAGTATTTCTATTAATTATGCTACTGATGTGGTCGCACGAAAAATCCCGTGATTAAGAAAATTCTGCAATATGAGGCGATCTTGATTCTTATATCTCTAAAAATTCTTACCTTGTAACATCAACATAGATTCGTTTCGCAAAATTCTTATTAAAAATATTACTTTGTGATATCAACATCTACATTTCCTTCCCCTATGATATTAATCTCTTACAAACATTCTTACAGTTTGCGCTCCCAAGAATGTGATTATCCGTTAGAAACCCATACAAACATTTGTATCATACGTTATTTCTTTGATCCACATAGAATCTTATAAATTCATGCAAAATTCAAATTTATGATGTACGTAATAATTTTACTTTATCCTTATAATATAATTACAATTAATTCGTTATTGTTCTTTTTTTGACGCATAGATATATCATCTTTTGTAAAAATTCTCACACTTTTGTAAGTAGGAACCCGTAAATTATAATCTGTATTATAATAATTTATATAGAAATTCAATAGTATAAAAAGGATAGCAAGATGTGGCTAAAGAATAATTTCAACTCTTATTTAACAATACTTAAGCTTTATTTATTTGTATCCTAGCATGATTTCTTTTATACTTAACAAAATTGAAAGCTTTACTGCATTATCCATAGAAAGTTGATGAATTTATTTAACATATATTTTTTGTATTTTTCTAAGAGAGTAGCTCTAATAGTATATAATATAAATTTTTATTAATTAATCTTGTTAAAAATAACTTAACTTTATATAATTAGATTATTCTTTAAACCATTCTGAAAAATCTGAAAAAATATATGTTAAAAAAGAAAATTCTAGCTTCATTTTGAGCTAAAATAAAAAATATTTATTATAAAATTAAAAATTATATAATAAATAAAAAATATTTATTTTATTAATTACAATTACAAAAAATTCAAGTATTGCATTATTTCTGATAGCCATTATATATTCAATATTATATTTAATTTAATACTTAATTTTCTTGTATTAAATTCTAGTATTATCAAGAAGAATACTACTTTTATTTATTTATATAAATATTATCAAGAAGAATACTACTTTTATTTATTTATATAAATAATTATTAAATTAAAAAAGTTATCTTTAATATTTTCAGATATTAATAAAAGTTAATGATTAAGTAATAGCTAATTAATTAAGGAAAACTGATACTTAAAACTGAAAATAATATTATTATCAATGCAGAGTTATGCAATAATAAAAAAGAAAAATGAGCACTAAAAATTATTTTGTTATGACAAAAGTAATAAATCCTGTTGATCATTAAGTATTTATCCATTTTTTTTACCATCCTTTCTTTCTTCATTTAATCTAATCTTAATAAAAGAAAGTTTTCTAAAAAATTTGAATATAGAAAATTAAAATTATAAACAGGACTATATAATCTGTATCTCTTTACCTATAAAACTTACTGTATTCTAATAAAAAATGTTCTTTGCAAAATTTACTATTACTTAGGTATTAGTAGTATTAATTAAATTCTCAACTCTGAGCCTAACTCTTTATTCTTACTGTAATTGAAAATGATATCATGATCTTTTTTGTATTTCACTTTGTTACTAGAAAGTCATATCAATAATTACATATACATAATAAATATTGATATTGACAAATATTTAAAGCGAAAATAAATCGTTTTCTTCATGAGACTAAATAACATGAACTTGAATTTAAAAAATTAAAGAATGGATAAAAGAAAATTTTTTATATGTATCTTCAAATAAATTACAATCATTCCCATAGCATTTAAAGCAACAATAACGTAACCTCTTTAAAAAATACTGTATATTCAAACCATATATGCTTGATTATCAATTTGGCGCATTTTTGATTCTTTCTAAGAAATTCAGATTTTATATCTCAGTCATATAAAATTTATTTGTTGAAAAAAATAATAATATCAATTTGAATTCATGGCAATTGATTGCAACTTGAAAATCAAACATCGTAAAATTGATCGTTTTCAGGGCTCAATACTACGGCATCCAGTAGACCGCTACATGTGATATTTATATCATTTGATTCATCGAGTCAAATAAATCAAATAATAATAAAATCATATGTTTTAAATCACTGGATGCCGAGGAACTGATCAATTTTTTGATACATTGCATGCGATTTTACATAAAGTTAAATTAATGGTTTCATTTTTTTTAGTGTCTAAAGATTATATCATGTGATTTACCATAATTTGATTCGTCTATTCAAGATGAAACAAATGAAAGCGAAGCATAAAGTGTTCGGTGACTTTCTTCCACCGAGTTTATATAAATGTTCATGTAAATATATAATAAATTTTATTATAATTTGAATTAAAAATATAATCACATTAATGATTTCATCATTTTTTTTATTGATAACATTGTAAAATGGACCAATCGACTTAACCAAATGTATAATAAAAAGCATAAGTTTTCAAGAATTCATGCATGCATTTCTGTTATCTAAAAACAAAAAGTTAAATTAGAAAATTAAATTTTAGTGTTTACATAAAACACCTAACAATTAGAATTTTGAGCTTTTTATGAATGTTAACCTTTAGCGAGCTGACGAGAAAATTGACCAATGTGAGCTCACTTGGTTTGTTCCGTCGTATAAATGCAACACTGAGGCCGTTGCCATTCATACTCGTAAATGTAAGGCCAGCATCTACATGGAGAGTATGGAGGGTATGGAGGGTATGGCAATGGGTGTGGTGGCGGGTATGGCAGGAGGGGCATTGTGGCAGACAAAGAGAAGAAACAGATTATCATGGTCAAAACGATTCCAATAAATTTTTTGAGTGTAGTCATTTTCCTTAGTAATTTCGAATTTAATTTGTTAATTTGAAATGTGAAGAATATATATTGTGAGTGCTTCCTTTATATAAGTTTTGTCTGAAACACTTATTGTTTGAAATATATTAGTGAAAATCATATTATAAAAAATCATATTAATAATTCATAGAATTCATAGAAAAACACAATGCAAACATGACAATGAATTATAATTCATAGAGCGGTATGAAGATGATATAAACATAATAATGAAAAAATCGGAATCAGGAAATCACATTACCTTCGCCCTTAAAAAGTCGATATCATAGAATTGACATTGATACATGTATTTTCTATTTTGGGAGCATTACCTAACAAGTATATTAAAATGGATTTATCTGAATTACTTTTAAGATTATATATACATGTATTACTGTATTAGAAAAAAGCGCACAAATTGCAAAAGAGGCAAATTTCATATACTTGTAATTTGAATGTTTAAGAGTAGTCACAAGGTACATGTTCTGTTTATTACTTGAAAAAATCTTTGCCTTTTTAGCTTTGGTCATGTGTTTGTTGATTTGGAATATCAAATTCTAGATAGTACCATACGCGAGAGTCGTATATTTAATGTTAATATTGTATTATTGAAGAAACAGTAATTTTATCTTCATTTAGAACACGACAACAACCTATAGAATCTAAATATTCAAAGCACACACCTGCGCGTTATTTTGAGACAAAAGGTTGATTTTCTGCCAAACCTGACCGATCAGAATCGGATTCAAGAATGATGATAACAATAAAAAGAGTTAAGATTCTGTGTCGAATTTATATTAAAAGAATCAATTTTTACCAAGTTTACCACTGTTATATATGATGCGCATTTTCGAGACTACATATGCTATTTTAGAGGGTGTGATTTTCCAAATAACGCCCATGCTCATTATTTCAGTTTTACGGTAGTTTTAAATCAATATGAAATGTTACTTTTAAAAATACAATATACATGTATGCCCATGCATAATTACCAGCTCATTTGAATTGAAATTAAATATCATATGCTCGTGTTAGGAAATTAAAAATAATCATATGAATTGTGAAAGTTATGGGAAGAATGTTCAAAATTAAAAGAAACAGTCATTACAACCAAGAGAGAAGTTTAATATTAATTAACTTTTAAGCTGGTTGAAATCCATAATGGACTGGGTGACAACACCACAGTAACGGTTGCCATAAACCATGCCAGTCAGGAGGCGGTGTACAACAATAGATGATCTTATGGGAAGGGTACGGCTGCGTGTAGGGCAATGTGTCAGACAAAGCGACGAAACAGATTGTCATGGCCAAAGCGATTCCAATTTTTTGAATGTAGTCATTTTCTTTAATACTTTCAAATTTTTATTTGTTAATTCGAAAAGTGAAAATGTATATTTCTTTATTCATGTACATGTAAAGTTTCACTGAAACTCATGTGGCAGAGAATCAATTAATAAATAATTCATGGAAAAATACAATTCAAATATGACAATGAACTATAATTCTTAGAAAAATACAATGTAAACATGACAATGAAGATACCAGAATCAATGCCCTTAAAAGGCAGATATCATAAAATCGATATCGATAGACGTATTTCTATTTTGAGCGCGATACCTCTTGCATTCTCGATGCATGATTCAGTAAATATATTAACGTGAAAACCTTATGGCTGTGTGTAGGGCAATGAATGTATCAAATGAAGCGAAGAAACAGATTGTCATGGTCAAAGCGATTCCAAGAAATTTTTTGAATGTAGTTATTTTCCTTAATAATTTCAAATTTTTATTTGTTAATTCAAAAAGTTAAAATGTAATATTTGTGAGCGTTTCTTTATACAATGTATAAGTTTGTCTGAAAATCATATGATAGAAAATCATATTAATGATTTAGAAAAATACAATTCAAACATGACAATGAACTATAAGTATTAGAATTCTTAGAAAAATACAATGCAAACATGACAATGAAAATACCGGAATCAGGAAACTACCCAACAAACATTGCACTTAAAAGGCAGATATCATTAAATCGATATCGATAGACGTATTTTCTATTTTGGGCGTGATATCTCTTGCATGCTCAATGCATGATTCAGTAAATATACTAACGTTAAATGTTGATTACGAAATGGATTATTCGAATTACTTTCTTTACATTTGAAAATATTTGGATACACAAACTAACAGAATAAATAAACAAAAAAGAACAACGAGAGAGCATAAAAAAGAAAAGCAAAAAAATGTCAAAAAATAAATTTCAAGTAACAAAAATAGCAATTAAAATAGTTACAATTAATCAAACGATAACAACGCTATTTATTCATATATATTTATTTTTACTTCTCATTTATTTTATATATCTTTTCTTTTTATATTATCTATTGAAGGGAAGAAAAATATTGATTCAAGTTACATTTTAAAAATACAAGTTAATTAATCATATCCTAGGTTCAGCTAGCGGTTATATGATTTCCAGTATCAGAAGAAAAACATGATCATTTTTTAGCAAGTTTTATCAATATAGGAAGCTTGTTGTGATAATTCAGATATCGATCCAATTTATTCAATTCAGGTCTCTCTTCTTTGTCAAGCAGCCCAAAAATATAGCATTCTGAAGATTCGTTACTACTTTCATTGTCAGATTCATTGTTAAAGAGAAATAGTAATTCTAATGTCTGTTGAATTAAAAAAGCTGGTATTTTTGGTCACGTGGTTTATATAAGCTTTCTCTAATAAATGCTTGGAGATTATTAAGAATTTCTTATGTTGTTTGAATGTCTCGCAAATGTCCTATTATATTTACTTATCGAACCAAGCAGGCGCCTTTGTTATTAAAAATACGAGTGTAAGTATTCCCAATATAAAAGATTATTAATTATCAATTCAAAATAATTATTTTTCTTCTTTTCCAAATCGTTATATATTCCGAATTTCTAATTTTAATTATCCTTAATCAGCATGTGAGTTACTCATTACAAAGATAGGCTGGCATTGAAATAATGATGTCATCGTCGCTTTAATATTAAAAAAGGGAGCTATTGTTATTGTTTGTAAGAATTCCCAATATAGAAGACAAAATGAAGTGAATAATATATAAAAAGTGAATTTATTCTCTCTGCACTTCACAATTTTTTACTTCAAGGAATCCACTAAATTTTACTTTATTAACGTTGCCAATTAATTATATTAATAGTGCTTTTCATAATGGCTCATGATTCACGAATCAATGAGCTCTTTAACCACACAATCCGATGTATAGGTCTGGTACGAAATCCCAAATCACGAATGAACGAATTCCCGAAAGAACGACATCCCGAATCACGAAATTCCTAATGAACGACATCCCGAAAGCTCGAAATTCTGAATGAATGATATCCCGAATGAATGATATCCCGAATGAATGACATCCCGAATGTACGAAAACCTGATGTTGATTAATTTTAGTATCTCATGTATTTTGAGATACATATACTATACTTTAGGCTTTTCTTCATTCGGGATGTCGTACTTTCAGGATTTCATGATTCGGAGTGTTGTGATTCGGGATGTTGTTAATTAGGGATTTTGATAGCGTTCATTCGGGATTTTGATCTTTTGGGTTTATGAACGTTCAGGATTTCATGATTCGGAATTTCGACGGTTACCAGATTTATCATCTAATTGTTATCGATAAGATTTCGAATAAGTTTACAAAATTTGCAGTATCTTCATGTGTGAATGATGTTGTGGAGATGCAATTCAAGTATCAATTAGATATAGATATATGTACTATTTGTTAGCATGGTGTCTTGCGAGCATGGATGTTAATGGCTGATTACCTTTATCGATTATGTCTTGAAAATGATTTTTTGTCATTTTTGCAGCATGACAATTAGAATATCACAAGATTAGAAATGTGCCTATGCGCATTATGCGTATAGTTACTAACCGATATCGTAAATGCCCATACACAATTATGCATATGGTTAAGTTCATAAATCATCACCAATTAAGGCATTTGTACTCAATAAATAATGATAAACCAACGCATTTATACAGAACATACGTATAATGATAACGATAAACATCTACCGCTACATCTTTATTGTTTTATCATTATGGCTTCTCGAAGTTCTATATGGGAACATTTTTAATCAAATTTGTCATATTGATGGATTTCGACAACAGCGTGCAGAATGTAAATACTGTGAAAATCCCAAATATCAATGCAATAATTCAGTAATTCGGTGTAAATCACATCTGCACATATGTCCAAATGCCTTAATTGAAGTTAAACGATCATTTTTTGGTATGAGCTTTGAAAATCCAGAAATTACTAATACAAGTTCACTCAATGCCAATTTGCCTGGAAGTCAACTTATGCAATACAAAGCAAAATCAGATCTTTCAGTAATACATTAGCATGGGAGTGCATTGATAATATTGATCCAATTACTTGGTGGATTGCGAATTTTGCACAAGCAGTGCTTGAATTAACACAATTAGCATGATGTATCTTAACAATTCCAACATCATCTGCAACTTCTGAATGTTACTGGTCAGCTTTTGCAAATATTCATAACAAAAAAAGAAATTGGTTAAGTATTAAGCATGTTCTTAAATTAGTTTATATTTATAGTAATCATAAAGTACAAACTCCTCCAGATAATAAAAAAAATTGTCAAAAAACATCAGGAAATTTTTTGGAAAGATATTCATTGAGAATCATCATCATATCTGTAAAAATCAATAAATATCTCTCTGAAATATCGATATTAATTGATGACTCTGATGATCTTTGATAAATATCCATATCAATAATAATTGATCATTGTTAATACATTATTTATCAATATATAATAATATATCAATCATTATTGCAATATATTATTTATTGATAACAAATGATATATGTTAATAGTTAATTCAAATACTTGTTTTAAAACTAGTTTATTATATTAATATCAGTTTAGCTTATATAACCTAAATAAACATGC